CCCCAAAACCCCAAAACCCCAAAACCCCAAAACCCCAAGTCAAATCTGAAATATTGAATTAACTCATCTTTACATGGTTACATAATATCAAAAAGAGAGTTGCTCCGAATCCCAAAATGAGTCCAATATATTGCAAAGTATTCGGGAACCTTGAGAACAAAGCAATCTCAAGTACAGTCTGATAGATCACTGAAGTTTCGATAAGAGCATCTGCTACACCTGCCTTGCCTCTGACATTCACATAAGCTATCAAGTATCCAGACAAGCTTAAGATAATTCCACCAACGGTTGCAGCAATGTATTCATGAAGAGCGAATTCAAACCCTTCTACTTCCAAAGCTATGAAATAAATTAGGAACATAACGTCGCTGAACACTCCGATAAAGTTGAAAAGGGCAGAGATGTTAACTTCTTTAGCAGTCCCGAAGAAGTATTTCAGAACGGCTGCCCTCACTCATGTGAGTACCAAGGAAATGCACAAAGTAGAACACGCAAGTATAGAGTACATTTTGGTAGATTCTTCTGTGTTACCAACGGTTTTTCCATCACTTGATAATCCAATTACCAAGGCTCCAGCAATACAGAACACCATTGCAATAAATTCATACGATTTCAAAGCCTGTTTGAACAAAAAGAAGAATATGATCGAAGATACCACAGGCTTCACAGAATAAATAGACATCAGCACTCCTGTATTCAAGTGAACAATGCCTGCAAAACTAAAACGAAGTTAAGACCTGAGAGCTTACCTGTAGCTTATAATAAATATTAGATAAGAAACAAACCAGAGCAAAAGAAGACAAACAGAGACTGCAACTCTTTTCCATTGAATCCGAGTTGTCCACTGATTGGCAACATAGTTTCCATCAGTATCGATCTTTCTAAACAAGAAGATATTGTAGAACCATTTAAAGTAACCCCCAGTCTGTTGGTATTGACCTTTGTCTTGTTTCTTTGAATATATCGATACCACAATAAGTGGAATAAGATTACCAATAAGACTTCCAACTGATTGGAGAGCAATTGCTTTCTGTCTATAACTTGCAATGTAACTAACTGAAATATTTGCAACAGCAAAAAGTACAGCAACAACTAAAGATAAAGGAACCCAAATCTTAGAAGAAACCTCTCCTTTATCGTCTTTCAAAGTCGTTAAAGATTTTTCTTCAAGAACAGTTTCATCAAACTGAATACTCGCTTGTTCAATCTCTGAGGCTGAGTCTTTTGTTGATGCTAAACTAGTCATATGAATTTTTATTAAGAATTTCTATAGAGTTTCTTAAGTCTGGGGTTTTGGGGTTTTGGGGTTTTGGGGTTTTGGGG